CCGGGACCCGGCGGAAGGAGTCACCCCGGGGGGGGGGGACTTCCCAGCAGTGCTCAGTGGCAGAACCCCTCCCCCCCAGAGATGCACACGAGAGGTCTCAGCCCTGCCCCCCCAAGTCCACATGCCAGAGGGCAGAGCCAGCTGGTGGCAAAGAACCCCCCCCTCTCCTTGGGAGGCAGCCAATGTGCCCCCGTTCCGCACTCAGGACTGCGTTCCTCTCCGCCTGCTTGCCAGTCGCCGGGCTGCCCGTGAGGCACGCCGGGTGGAATTTTGTGCAACGGACAGGAATGCTGGGAAACGGGCCGTGCCGCTCGCTTCACCGAGAGCAGGAGAGGAGTCAGGAACGCATCCCCAGCGGAGGGCCAGGACAAGGAGCAGTCTGGGCCCTTCCTCCTGCCTGCCGCTCTCGGTGGCCTGTTCTCGCTCACGCTCCACACCTTTCTCTGCACAGTGTCTTTTCGGGCGGCTTCACAATTTGGAGACGCACATGGGGAGTAAGACGCATCCTCTCATGCAAGGTCCTTTGCATAGTAGTGATCATACGTGAGCACACAAGATGGCCTTCTACTGACTCAGACCCTCAGTCCATCAGGGTCAGAATTGTCTGCTCTGACAGGCAGCCGCTCTCCAGGGTCTCAGGCGGAGGTCTTTCCCATCCCCTCCTGCCTAGTCCTTTTAAACTGGAGATGCTGCTGGGGACTGAACCTGAGATCTCTTGCCTGCCAAGCAGAGGCTCTGCCACTGAGCCACAGCCCCTCTCTACAGCTCTCCAGGGTCTCAGGCGGAGGTCTTTCCCATCCCCTCCTGCCTGGTCCCTTTTCAACTGGAGATGCTGCTGGGGACTGAACCTGGGACCTCCTGCATGCCTCCTGCATGCCAAGCAGAGGCTCTGCCACTGAGCCACGGCCCCTCTTTACAGCTCTCCAGCGTCTCAGGCAGAGGTCTTTCCCATCACCTCCTGCCTGGTCCTTTTAAACTGGAGATGCTGCTGGGGATTGAACCAGGGACCTTCTGCCTGCCAAGCAGAGGCTCTGCCACTGAGCCACAGCCCCTCTCTACAGCTCTCCAGGGTCTCAGGCGGAGGTCTTTCCCATCCCCTCCTGCCTGGTCCCTTTTCAACTGGAGATGCTGCTGGGGACTGAACCTGGGACCTCCTGCATGCCAAGCAGAGGCTCTGCCACTGAGCCACGGCCCCTCTTGACAGCTCTCCAGCGTCTCAGGCAGAGAAGTCTTTCCCATCACCTCTTGCCTGGTCCTTTTAACTGGAGGTGCTGCCGGGGACTGAACCGGGGACCTTCTGCCTGCCAAGCAGAGGCTCTGCCACTGAGCCACAGCCCCTCTCTACAGCTCTCCAGGGTCTCAGGCGGAGGTCTTTCCCATCCCCTCCTGCCTGGTCCTTTTAAACTGGAGATGCTGCTGACCCTCCCCAGTGAAATGTGTTTGCGCTCCTGACCTGGATAGGCCAGGCAAGCCCAATCCCATCAGATCTCGGAAGCTACACGGGATCGGCCTTGGCTAGTACTTGGAAGGGCAACCTCCAAGGAATACCAGGGCCATAACAAAGAGGCAGGCAATGGGAGACCACCTCGGAAACATCTCTCGCCTTAAAAATATGTCTTGTATGACTTAACATCACATAAGGCTATCTACTGCATTTCTTGTATTCCATGCATTGAATACTATTGTATATTTGAGAAATATTTGGAGCCTCATCTGATGTTAAGTCATACATGATTCATATTTACTCATCTATTTCCTTAAATTATTGTTAAAAACAAGTCTAGCTCACCATCTAGTAGTGCATAACGCTAAAGAGCTAGAACTCCTGGCTGCCAGACAATCTTAGGATTTCCTGGCTGTCCTACACACAACGCCATACGATAATAATCATTATTATTGTGTTTGCACTTCCTGAACACAGACAGGCGACTGAAGTTTTGCAGCTCCTGGAGAGAAAAGCAGGGCCCCCCTCCCCCCGTCCAGGCAAGGGACAGGCCACGTTCAGTGGGGGGAGCTCCATCACCTGCAGCGCCCAGTAGTTTTCGTAGAGGTTCTCTATGCCGATGTCGGAGCCGTTGACGGTGCAGTCATTGTAGGGATACTCCAGGCGCTGCAGTTCGTCCTACAGAGGAAGGAAAGAAGCAAAGTCCTCAGAGGAGGGGATCGGGGCCCACTCGTTGCTGCCGTTCTTGGAAAGTGCCAGACCACTGAAAGGAAATTTGGGGCTTCGGCTAAGATAAAGAAAAAGTGAGAGCAGCACAGCACGGCAGCCAGGATCCATGCCACCCCAAGGAGGAAGCGGGCTACTCTGGAGGCAGCACCCAAGGAGGGGGAGGAGGGGGGGGGAGGAGGAGGAGAGATTGGATTTATACCCTGCCCTTCACTACCCGAAGGAGTCTCAGAGTGTCTGACAATCTCCTTTCCCTTCCCCCTCCCCACAACAGACACCCTGTGAGGTAGGTGGGGCTGAGAGAGCTCTCTCGAGAACTGCCCTTGAGAGAACAGCTGTGAGAGAGAACTTGTGACTGACCCAAGGTCCCCCAGGTGGCTTCATGTGGAGGAGAAGTGGGGAACCAAACCCCGTTCTCCCAGATTAGAGTCTGCGCACTTAACCACTCCACCACCAGGGGACGGCAGCTCCCATTTTGGGGGGCTTCACTCAGGGCCAGCTCCAGCTAGTGCTGCTGCCCCAAGCGAGGCAGACCCACTGCCTCTCCAGAGGGGGCGCCACTTGCCCCCTCACCGTGCCTCCCCCCAAGCAGCCACGCCTGGGGGGGTATGGCCCCCTGCCCCATCCAGGAACCGGCCGATGCCCCGCCTCCTCAGAGCCCCTCCACCCGCCCACCCGACTCACTCACCACCATCACGCCGATGGAGGTCTCGGTCCCGGCCATGGCAAAGATGCCCTCGTCCTTGAGGAAGGGGAAGCTCTTCTGGTCATGCAGCATCAGCCGGGCCCCGGCTGTCGAGGTGAGGAAGGGGAGGTAGTCCGTCTGGTTGATGTCCAGGATGAGCTTCAGCCCTGCGGGCAGGACAGCCAAGGGTCAGCCCGTCTCCCCCCCTCCACTGCAGGAGGCAGGAGGCGGGGAAGCAGCTCCCCCCCGCAGGAGACAGAGCTACGTGCTAGGACCAGGAGCGCACAGGAGCGGAGCTCCAGCAGTAAAGAGCCCAGGGGGCGGGCACATGCAACAAGCCCCACCCCCTGCTCCCAGCAGCCCTCAGTCAGAGCAAGAAGCAGCCAGGTAAGCAGCCCGCCCCCCAGCCCAAAACAGTCCAGTGGCACCTTTAAGACCTTTAAGACCAAGTTTTATTCAGGTACAAGCTCTCCCTCCTCTGTGAGGGCAGATTTGCATGTCCCCCCCCCCCATAGCCAGCAATCCAAAACAGTCCAGTGGAGCAGTGAGTGCTGCCTTCTGACACACTTCCGGTGATGTCAGGGGGCGTGGCATATGCAAATGAGTCATGCTAATGAGTCGTGCTAATGAGCTCCTGCACCTCTTTTTCTACGAAATGACCCCTGGCTGGGGGGAAGGGGGACAGCAAAGGGGAGAGAACCCTACCCTCCCCCCTCCTCCTCCTCCTCCCGTCAGAGTGGCGTTTGCAGGCCCGGTGGCACAGAAGTGGGTGAGGGACAGGAAGGGATGGGATGGGACCCATCCGCCACAGAAGGGGGGGAGGGGCTGGCAAAGGGGGCTCTGCTTGCAGCGGGACACCCGCTTGGCCCACAGAAAGCTTCCCGGGGGCCTTGAACCGGAAGGGTCTCCAGCAGCCCGCTGGGACGGGCAAGGAGAGCCCAGAGATGGGCAAGGAGAGCCCACGCTGGTGGTCCCGCCCGTGGCTGGGGCTCTCTCCCTTCCCCTCCCCTCCCCCCGCCCACAGGGCCCCCCGACGACTGCCCGGGTACCCACCAAACTCTGCCCCCGGATTGGAGGAGAGGAGCGGCTTCTCCTCCATGCCCCAGTTGAAGATGTAGCAGTTGCCGTGGTCCGGGTGGTAGAGGCGGGGGGGGGTTCTGCAGGAAGGGAGGAAGGGTGTATATGTGTGTGTGGTGTTGTGAGCAGGGTGTTCCCCCTAAGCGGAGTGAGTGTGAGCCAGCTCACCGTTTTTTAGCCTCCAGCTCACAAGAACAGCTGTCCTTGAAAAAGAGCTCTCTCTCAGCCCCACCTGCCTCACAGGGTGTCTGTTGTGTGGGGAGGGGGAGGGAAAGGAGTCTGTGAGCCTCTCTGGGTAGTGAAGGGCCATGGGGTATAAATCCAGTCTCCTCTTCTCTCCTTCTTCTCCTTCTTCTTCTTATGCAGCAGACAAATCGCTCACTTGCAACTTTCATGCCAGGAGCTCAGAAAGTAGAATTTTTGCTCACAAGACTCCACAGCTGAGAGGGAGCGTTGCTTGTGAGCCAGCGGTTTGGCTGCTGCATAAACTAGTCTGCTCT